TTACTGACTTGGTGTTCTTATTGATTTATTGATGTTGGTGTTAGTGTGGAATTGTGACTGACTTGTAGAGCTTAGTTTTGATCACGTTGTGACTCATTGATGCTGATGTCATCAGTTACTTGATGCTGATGTTGGTGTAAACCTGCTGACATTTCTGTGCCCTGTTTGGGGCTGTTAGTGCTGTTCTTGAAGCTGTTGGTCTTGAGCTTTGCATTTCCTTCTTCACAGGTGGCTCACTTGATCCTCAAGGCTCATGCCAGAGCTTGGCACCACTACAGCAGTCACCATCGCCTGCAGCAGCAGGGACAGGTGGGCATCGTGCTCAACTCGGACTGGGCCGAGCCTTGGTCTCCAGAGCAGCCTGCAGACCTGGCAGCCTCTGAGCGTGTCTTACACTTCATGCTGGGCTGGTTTGCACACCCCATCTTTGTAGACGGAGACTACCCTCCTGTCATGAAGGCCCGGATTCAACAGCTGAACAGACAGTGCCCCAGTACTGTGGCCCAGCTCCCCGAGTTCACCGAGGCAGAGAAGCAGCTCTTGAAGGGCTCTGCTGACTTTCTGGGTCTGTCTCATTACACTTCTCGCCTCATCAGGCAGGCCCAACAGGATTCCTGTGTTCCCAGCTATGATAACATAGGAGGCTTCTCCCAACATGTGGACCCAGCATGGCCCCAAACTTCATCTCCTTGGATTCGCGTGGTGCCCTGGGGTATAAGAAGGCTGCTGCGATTTGTATCCCTGGAATACACAAGAGGAAAAGTTCCCATCTACCTTGCTGGGAATGGCATGCCCATAGGGGAAGGTGACAATGTCTTTGATGACTCCTCCAGAGTAACCTACTTCAACAAGTACATCAATGAGGTCCTGAAAGGTGAGAACATGGCCATACTGGGACCAGGGGTGGGGGGTGATGCTGCACATCTTCATAGCTCAGCTAACAAGGCAGAGACCGTTTCCCAGGGAAAAGAAGCCGAACAAGCAGCACGGGTAGGCCAAGTCTCCTTCTTTGCCAAAGGCTCCTGTCTTTATTTCTGAATTCTTCCGAGAATATCTCCTCCTACATCCTGCACATCTAAGTCCTAGCCCATCAGCAATACTTATCTTTTAATATATTTAGGTAAAGGTAGTTATAGGCTGGGAGCATGACTCAGTGGGAAAAATCACTTGCCTAGCATGTGCAAGGTCCCAGCACTAAAAATATTAGTATCTACAAAAGTGTGTGTACATATATAGATATATGTGTGCATAAAACATTAATTGTAAAGATAGAAAATATGCAGTGCCTATTGTGTACCAGATATTGTGAAAGACAAGAGGTACAATAGTGGACAACATCTTTAATCTACAAGGGGACACGGAGACTGAGGTACAGGATGAGTGGGGACACTTAGGATGGGACTTGATCCATTAAATCTCTTACTGCTCCAGCCCAACAGATTCCTATGTCCTTTAAGTGTCTGTGAAATCTGCATTCCGTGTCATTCATTGTGAGCCAGTGAACCCAATCTACAGGCTCATTCCTACTAACATACCATTTCATGTCTTTTTATTCCAAGTGGAAAAGGATGGCAAATAGGTTTTCTATCCCAAGTCAGTCCTCATCACCTGACAGTGAGCAGCCTGCTTTCTGCATAGAGGGTCATGTTGAGGTTTCAAGGTTTTATCTGAATTCAGAGAGAAAAGTAATTAATGATTCCTACTTGTCCTAGGCACCTCCCTGCCTTGTGAAGTCAGACACCCTCTCTGTACTTACGTTTATGCTTTTCTGGGCATTCATGACAGCTCCTAATGATCCTAGAATTCCTTGGTCTCAAGTGAACCTTGAAACAGCCTCTGGAAGGAGGAGGAGGAGCTACTGTCCCCATAGGACAGCTGTAGTCTTTGTGGTTGTGTATCAGTTCTTTACGCTGCCAGCAATTTTATTCATCTTGTGTCCCAGAACCTTGCACTGGCCTGGCACAAAATAGGTGCTTAATAACTTACTGAATAAACGAGCAATTTTTACCTACCCCCTTTTTGATTGGGTGGGAGGTAACAGGGATTGAGCCCAGGACCTTTACACTGAGCTACATCCTCTGCCCTTTATTTTATATAATAAATTTATTTAGGATTGATTGATTGATTGATTGATTGATTGATTGATTGGATCTTGCTACTGTGCTAAATTACCCAGGCTGGGCTCAAGCTTGCAATCCTCCTGACTCAGTCTCTCAGACCATGGGCATCACAGGTATGCACCATCATGCCCTTATACAGTTAGTTTGTTTGTTGAGAGATTACACAGTCTGATAAAATTAGGCCTTAATCCTTTGCTGGCTCCAGCTGGAGCCCACAGCCATAGCCTTTCTATTTTGGCTCTGTTGGCTGACTCACTAGACTACAATTTGACAAGTTAAAGGTCGGGGCATTAATTTCCTGAGGTTGCTCTAACACATTACTCACACTGGTGACTTAAAACAACAGAAGGTATTGTCTCACAGTTAGGGAGGTCAGGGTCCTAAAGCGCAGTGTCGGTAGTTACCTTCCCTCCAGAGGCTCTGAAGGGAAGACTGTTGCTTGCCTCCTCGGATGGCTCCATGTATTCCTTGGCTTGTGCCTGCATCTCTCAAATCACTGCCTCTATCTTCACATTCACATGACCTTTCCTCTTATAAGGATATATGTCAGCTGGGCATGGTGGCACCTGCCTATACCTCCAGCCCTCTGTGATGCTGAAACAGGAGGATCACAAGTTCAAGCCTAGTGTGGGCAACTTAGTGTGACTTTGTCTCAAAATTTAAAAAATAATACTTTTAAAGGACTTAATGGATTGAGTTCCAACCTCCATGTCCCTTGTCCCCCTATGTTATATTTGTAATGAGATGTAGTTCCTGCAAAGGCCCTGGGCTAATTCCCAATGATCACCACATACAAAAAGTACACTTCATTGCATTTAGAGTTTACCCCGTTAATCTAGCATGGTCTCATTTTGAGATTATTGAGTTACAACTCTTCACCGCTATGCTGGGGATCGAACCCCTGGATGCTGGGCAAGTGCTCTACTAATGTGCTTTTCCCAAACAAGGTTATGATCACCAATGCCTGCAGCCTGACATAGCTTCTGTGAGGTCACCATTCAATCCACTGCACCACGTTTCTTTAGGCTTTATGTATTTTTAGTATGGAGTATGTCCTCACTTCAACACTATTAAATATAAACAGGGAAAAAGCAAGATACATTTAAATGATTAAATGATGTATGCATTCTATACAAACTCAAGATCCTACAGCTAGAAGGTGAGCATGTTTTCTTATTTTTTGCTGGCCGGGAGGTGGGTCACACTTGCAATCTCAGCTGTTTGGGAGCCAAAGCAGAGCACTGAAAGTTCAAGGCCAGTCTGAGCATCTTTTTTTTAAAAAAATTAATTTATTTGTGTGTGTGTGTGTGTGTGTGTGTGTGTGTGTGTGGCCAGCTCAGCCCACCAGGGGGTGGGGCTGGCTGGCATGTGGTACTGGGGGATTGAACCGTGGTCCCTGTGCTTTGCTAAGCTTGTTCTAAGTAGGTGCTTTAGACCACTGAGCCATCTCACCAGCCCCTAGCCTGGGCATCTTAGTGAGACTCTGTCTCAAAATAAGGAAAAGTGGGTGGTAGGGATGTAGTTCAGTGCTCTCTGGGTTCTGTCCTTAGAATGAAAAAAAGAAAAAAATTAGGGATGCTCTTCTGGGTTGAGATTTAGGATTTATGGCCATGGATGTAGCTTGATGTTTTGGGCAGGTGTTGTACATTTTCCTTTTATTCATTCTAGGGAAGAAGGGTTAAATTTTGGAAAAAACGAAGTCCCCTCCAAAACCTTCATATCGAAGGAAAACTCTAAAAAAATCAACATCAGTCCCACAAACTTTATGTATAATTTTTCAATAAAAATAATCTTAAGATATATAACCCCAGCTAGGCACAGTGGTACATATCCATAGTTGGTATCCATCCTTAGCTACTTGGGAGATGGAGGAAGGAGGATCACAAGATCCAGGCTAGCCCAGGCAACTTGGTGAGACCATGTCTCAAAATTAGGACTCGGGCCATTGCTTGGTCCAAGGCCCTGGCTTCCCTTTCCAGAACTGGGGGAAGAGCTCAGTTTTTGTTTCCCTTCACAGCTGTCAAGTTTGACTCTGTGGATGTTCGCTCTTACATTGCTCGGTCTCTCATTGATGGCTTCGAAGGCCCCTCTGGTTACAGCCAAAGATTTGGGCTTCACCACGTCAACTTCAACGACAGCAGCAAGCCAAGGACCCCCAGGAAGTCTGTTTACTTTTTCACCAGCATCATTGAAAAGAATGGTTTCCTCACTAAGGTAGTGAAAAGACTGCCACCTTCTAAAATAGCCGATTTCCCCTCCAAAATAAAAAACTTCAATTTTCCATCTGAGGTGCCCTCCAGGGCTAAAGTAGTTTGGGAAAAGTTCTCCAACCAACCCAAATTTGAGAGAGACCTTTTCTACCACGGCACATTCCGGGATGACTTTCTGTGGGGCGTGTCCTCATCGGCCTATCAAATCGAAGGGGCTTGGGACGCCGATGGCAAAGGCCCTAGCATTTGGGATAACTATACACACACTCCAGGGAATGAAGTGAAAGACAATGCCACTGCAGACATAGCCTGTGACAGCTATAACAACTTGGAGGCGGATCTGAATATGCTCCGAGCTTTGAAGGTGAAGGCCTATCGCTTCTCTCTATCCTGGCCTCGGATTTTCCCTGACGGCACGAACAGTTTTATCAACAGTGCTGGTGTTCAGTATTACAACAGACTGATTGATGGCTTGGTGGCAAGCAGCATCTTTCCCATGGTGACACTGTTTCACTGGGACTTACCGCAGGCTCTTCAGGACATTGGAGGCTGGGATAATCCTTCCTTGATTGAGTTGTTTAACAGCTACGCAGACTTCTGTTTCCAGACCTTTGGTGACAGAGTCAAGTTCTGGATGACCTTTAATGAGCCTGCATACCTGGCCTGGTTTGGTTATGGCTATGGGTCTTTCCCCCCAAATGTGAAGGACGAAGGCTGGGGCCCTTACAGGATCGCCCACGCGGTCATCAAAGCCCATGCCAGGGTCTACCACACTTACAATGAGAAGTACAGGCAGCAGCAGCAGGGCATCATCTCCTTGAGCCTCAACACACACTGGGCGGAACCCAAATCCCCAGGGACCCCAAGAGACGTGGAAGCTGCTGACCGAATGCTGCAGTTCAATTTGGGCTGGTTTGCCCACCCCATTTTCAGAAATGGAGACTATCCCGACGTGATGAAGTGGAAGGTGGGGAACAGGAGTGAGCTGCAGCACCTGGCCACCTCCCGCCTGCCGAGTTTTACTGAGGAGGAGAAGCAGTACATCCGTGGCACGGCGGACGTCTTCTGCCTCAACATCTACTCCGCCAGACTCGTGCAGCACAGAACACCTGCGCTGAACCCACCTGCCTATGACAAAGACCATGAGGTGACCGAGGAGGAAGACACTGACTGGGTTGCCACGGCAATGAACAGAGCTGCGCCCTGGGGGATTCGGAGACAGCTCAACTGGATCAAGGAGGAGTATGGTGACATCCCCATCTACGTCACTGAGAACGGAGTGGGGCTGACCAGTGCAGCACTGCAAGACACTGACAGGGTATTTTACTACAAAACTTACATCAATGAAGCTCTGAAAGGTCTGTAACCATTTAGTTCATCTTACAAAATCTTCCAATATCCCAACATTGTGTGCCTGAAATTGTTTTTTAGGCTGCTTTAAAATCTCTTTTATGCCCTAACTCCATAATTCCTTATTTATTTGGGGACTTATATGTAGTATATCAAGAAGCTGGAAAAAAGCATTGGTTTTCTCAAAATGTACAAATGTATGTATATGAAACCCCCAAAAATATTTTCATGGGTCATTTATTCATTATTGAGCAGCTATTATGGGAGTGCTGCAGGAAATGGAAAACACATTTCTGCCCTCATGAAACTTATATTCTTGGGGATTCCAAGAATCCCAGAACAAGAAACCCATAACTTCTATAGTAGGCTCAGGCTCTTGAGCTTGAGACATAGCTCTTCACCTTAACAAAAGAATTCAGTTTTGCAAAGGTCAAGTACTAATACTTTCTATAGGGTCACCACAGCCAGTAGAAAGTACAATCAGCAGGGTGATCTGTTGACACACTCCTCATGTGGGGCCATCCCCTCGGGTTGTACGGCTGGCACTCGCCTTGGGCTTCTGGCCTCCTGGGGTAAAGCTCTCTCCTCTGCTCCCTTTGGGGCTTTCTAGCCTACAGGCTCGATGGTATAGATGTTCGAGGGTATTCTGCATGGTCTCTGATGGACAACTTTGAGTGGCTGTTTGGTTACACAGTCAAGTTTGGTCTGTACCACGTTGACTTTGAAGATGTGAACAGGCCTCGCACGGCAAGAGCCTCGGCTAGCTACTACACAGAGGTCATTACCAACAACGGTATGCCCATGCCCAAGGAGGATGAGTTCCTGTATGGAGAGTTTCCCAAGGGCTTCATCTGGAGTGCAGCTTCTGCTGCTTATCAGGTAAGAAGTTTGTGGCCATTCAACACCACGTACTGCACTCCTGCCTGCCTTCTGTGCACCAGGCTTTGGGCTTTGTGCTAGGCAGGGGAAGGCAGGGGCGTGAGCGGGGTTGGGGAGTGGGGGACTCCAGGAGAGCACATGGAGCCAGTACATGGACACAATTCAGGGATGTCTCTTCCTGGACATTCCTGCTTCTTCACATACCCTCACATCCAGCAGAACAGCACAGCTAGGTGTCTAAAGATGGAGCAGGGATAGCCTGGGCAGAGAGACACACAAATGTCCAGTGTCTCTGCTGCACGCATTCCTTCCTTCCTAGTCCATTCAGGCAGAGTTTACATTGATTAAGGAAGAGTTACCCAGATGTGGTGTTGCATACCTGGAAGCCCAGCACTCTGGGAGGCCAAGGCAAAAGGATCACAGGTTACAGCCCAGCCTGGACAATTTAGTGACTGAGCACTTGACTTATCTCAAAATAAAAAATAAAAGAACTGGGGGTGTAACTCAGTGCAAAGAGTAGGTTCAGTCCTTAGTACTTAAAAAAAAAAAAAAAAAAAAGTTCAAGGCCAGCCAGGAAACTTAGCAAGACTCTGTCTCAAAATTAAAAAATGACTGAGGATGTAGTTCACGGGGAGAGCTCCCCTGAGTTGGATCCCTAGTACCACAAAAACGTAGACAAATGTGGGGTACATGCCTACATTTTGGGATGCTGAGACAGGAGGATTAGAAGTTTAAGGCCAGCCTGGGGTACATAGCGAGAGTCTGTCTCAAAAGCAGAATGAGAGACCAGGATGAGAAGTGCTTACAGTGTGGAGTCCCTGACTAGAATGCTAGCTGACCCTTGGCATGGTGGGAGCTTCTGCCTTCCTCTAGTGAGCGCTGGCTTTCTTCAGAGGTGAATGGCATTTAGTAACCATAACCTGGACACAGGGTGTTATTACTGTACTTCCTGGCCCTTTTGGTGGACAGAGCTAGGAAGTGTGTGTGTACACATTTATGTGTATTTTTACACCCACCCATCTCTTTCTATATTTAAAACCATGAGTTCACACCTCTAATACCAACCCAACTTCATAGGATAAATGCCAACCTTCTCATTTTCTGTTTATTTATTTATTTATTTTGTATTTTAGGAAAGGGTCTACAGGATATTGAGGGTCTCACTACTAGATTGAACTCATAGTGATCCACCTGTTTACAGTCTCCCAAGAGCTGAGACTACAGGTGTGCACCACCACACCCAGTCTCAATTGCTCTCAGTGCACCCCGGGGGCAGAGCCAGCACAGCAGGCTATTTCATTTTTTAAAAAATATTTTTATATATTTACCTATTTGGTACATACAGGGTCTCTCTATGCAGCTCAGACTAATAATGATCCTCCTGTCTCAGCCTCCCCAGTGCTAAGATTATAGATGTGCACCACAATGTCCAGTTTCAGTGGCTGGCAAGGTATGGCGCCAGCAGGGCATGCAGTACCAGGGATTGAAACCAGGTCCTTGTGCTTGCCAGGCAAGTGCTTAGACCACTAAGCTATCTCCCCAGTCCCAATTTTTTTTTTTTTTATTTTTGAGACAAGGTCTTGCTATGTAGTTCAGGCTGGCCTCAAGCCTCCTGAGTCCTGGGATTACAAGTGTGCCCCATTTACCTGGCTCCATTTACCATATTTGTATCTCCTTTTCCAGTGGTGAGAATCTAGCTTCTAAAGTCCAGTAGAGTCTTAGTTCAACCCTCCTGCCTTCCCTAATCTCTCTACCCAGATAGCTCACTTGGTGGGCACTCCTGCTGGCGCTGGACCCTGCCTCTCTCCACCAACCCTGGACATGCATTCTTTTTTTTTTCTTTTTTGCAGAACCAGGGATTGAACTCAGGCCCTTGCACTTATCAGAGAAGCACTTATTCCACTGAGCCATCTCCCTGGCCCCTGCATTCTTTTTTTTTTTTTTTAAATCCTTCAACTTACTTTTTAAATTTATTTTATTTATTTATTTTACATTTATTTTGTGTGTGTGTGTGTGTGTGTGTGTGTGTGTGTGTGTGGTGAGCTCAGCCCACCGGGGGGCGGGGCTGGCTGGCATGTGGTGCTGGGGGATTGAACCGCGGTCCCTGTGCTTTGCCAAGCTTGTTCCAAGTAGGTGCTTTAGACCACTGAGCCATCTCTCCAGCCCCCATGTATTCTTGATTAGAGTGCTAATACTAGCTTAGATGTGCCCAGTCTCATGTTCCTTTTTTTTTTCCCCTAGTACTTTTTTTTTTTTTTTTTTTTAAGGGAAGGGTCTACAGGGTGTTTAGGGTCTCACTATTAGATTCGACTCATAGTGATCCGCCTGTTTATAGCCTCCCAAGAGCTGGGATTACAGGTGGTGCCACCAAGCCCAGTCTCAGTTGTTCAGCATGCCCTGGGGGTGGGGCCAGCATGGCATCTAGTACTTTTCTTGGGGTACCAGGAATGGAACTCAAGACCTTGAGCTTGCCAGGCAGACACTGTGCTGCTGAGCTACACCCTGCTGGTACATGTTTATAATACATAATGACTGCACTCACACCTCTTAATGCTTTTTTCACCCTTCCCCTTCCAAATTTATTGAAGTGTTTGAAAGTAAATTACAGAGGACCGGCCACATAGCTCAGCGAATTAAAGAACCTGGGGTTTGATACCTGGGCCTGCTATGCCAGCCCCAACCCCAGGGCGTGCTGAGACATTGAGACGGGGCGTGGTGGCACACACCTGCAAGCCCAGCCCTTGGGAGGCTATAAACAGGGGGCTCACTATGAGTCCGATCTAGTAGTGAGACCCTAAACACCCTGTAGACCCTTCCCTAAAATAAAAAGAAAGTAAATTACAGAAATTGCACCTATCAGACTACCTAAGTGTATAGATAAGTATTTTTCCTGTGGCTTGTGGTCATTTATCCATAGACTAGGTAGAAGGGAAGGAGGTGTGAGCAGAAACAGCAACATACGTTCTGACTTGAAATGGTGCCTTGCATCTTTACAGTTTGGCTGTGGCTAAGGATGGCAGCAGTGTGACATTTTTCAGATCCTTAGTGAGGACTGTTAGCTGTAGGAGCAAAGTAAAACATACATACTGCCTAGACCTCCGGTTTGTGGGAAGCCAGTTGCTAGTGCCCGGCAGCGTAATACAGAGTGATGGTGCCGCACAGGTACAGAAGTGGGCAGGAAAATGTGGGAAACTGGAGGGGGCCAGAGAAGGCGGTGATGCGGCTGAGCAAAGTCCAGACTTGGTTGTGACCCCTGACAAAGGGAGTTTGGGTTTGGCTGAATGACTATCACATCACACCTTTGTCCTTCTGAGATCGAGGGTGCATGGCGAGCAGATGGCAAAGGACTTAGTATCTGGGACACATATTCGCATACACCACTGAGGATTGGAAACGACGACACTGGAGATGTGGCCTGCGACAGTTATCACAAGATTGCTGAGGATGTGGCTGCCCTGCAGAACCTGGGTGTCTCTCATTATCGCTTTTCCATCTCCTGGACTCGGGTCCTCCCTGACGGAACCACCAAGTACATCAACGAGCCAGGCCTGAACTACTACACGCGGCTCACTGATGCACTGCTGGCCGCCAACATCCAGCCCCAGGTGAGGGGCCCCTGGCACTCTCAGGCTTACTACTGGCACAATGATGCCAGTGCCCCTGAGGAGCACCGCTGACGCAACTTCTGATCTGCATCTCTCACAGGTGACCCTGTACCACTGGGACCTACCGCAGGCCCTCCAGGACATTGGAGGATGGGAGAATGAGACCATTGTGCAGCGATTTAGAGAGTATGCCAACGTGCTCTTCCAGAGGCTGGGAGACAAGGTGAAGTTCTGGATCACACTGAATGAGCCTTTTGTCATTGCTTACCAAGGATATGGCACCGGGGTGTCAGCACCAGGTAAAGTTCTCAGGGCCTGACTTGTTACATGCTCTTCGCAATGCAGCATTCTGAGAACCCCGAAGAAGTGAGACGCAGGTGGCATGGAGGAGGAGCCCATACTTTTTATTCAAGGCTGCAGGGATTTCCCTTCTGACATGTGTCCTAAGCACTGATTTCACATCTCAGAACCTCTGGATGACATCATTTCTTTGTCCCATGACTCTGATTTGCCTCAGGTGGGAGGCTCTGCAAGAACACAAGGTGGGCAGATCGGTGTAGGAAAGGACAATCTGTCAGGCTACTCGGGGCCAAAATCTGCTTTTCATTTTTCCAGTATTTTTTTTGTGCAGGGTCTCACCATGCAGCTCCGACTCTGATCCTCCTTCTTCCAGCCTCCCTAGTACTCGCATTATAGGTGTGCACAACCATGCCCTGACTCCATCACCAGCTCAGCACAGGGGGGGCAGGGCCAGCACAGCACATGGTGCCAGGGATTGAACGCTGACCCCGGTGCTTGCCTAGGCAAGCGCTTAGTCTGCTGAGCTATCTCGCTGGCCCTCATCCTTCCAATATTCTAAAGTTCTCATACCTGATTTGCATGACCTGAGCCCACTTAGTAGCAATAAAAACTGACTCAACCCACTTGGTGCCATTTGCATGATGATTATTGGGACCACGTGTAAAAGCTGCAGAGGTGTGGAGAGTCAGGCCTCAAACCACCACGAGCCCAGTCTCTCTCCAAGCCTTTGACAGCACTGGTTTGCACAGCCTCTCCTGCGGGATTTGCTCTTGGGGAGTCTCCACCTCAGCAGTTGCTTCAGCTAATGATGTTCTCCAACTGCCAAGACACACATTTTGTAGATATTTTCCCCGAGACACGGGGGCCATTCTTTTGGAGGAGGAGGACAGAAGCCAGCATTACCCATGTGCCTTCTCTCTACCAGACACTAAATTTCCTTCTTTTAAAAATGTTTGGGCCAGGGAGATAGCGCAGTAGAATAAGCGCTTGCCTGGCAAGCACAAGGGCCTGAGTTCAAGCCCCGGTTCCACCAAAAACACCCCCAAAAAACTGAACAAAACAAAAAACTTCATACCTAAAAATGTTGGCTGGCCATGATGGGGCATGCCTGTAATCCTGGCACCTAGAGGCTGAGGTAGGAGGATCACCATGAGCTCAAGGTCATCATGAGCTACACAGCAAGAGCCTGTGTAAAAACAACAAAACATGTCTTATTAGCACATTTGTAGAACATGATTACATTCATCATGGGGAATTGCTACATGTACATAACATTTTAATTTTCTTTTCCTTCTCTAATCTCCTTCTCACAAGTACTGTCTACTGTTCATTCTAACATTAAGGGGGAAAAAAAGCTAAAGGGCTGCATTGCTTGACCAAAGTGAGATAGCCATCTAGTAAAAGGTAGTGGTCAAGGGTTTTGAACTCCAGTTTTCCAAATGTCAAAATCTTTCACCCAGTGGGGATATCTATATGCAGGAAACTAATGCTCCTGGCCATGTTTATTCTGTTGGTGTCCATGTGTTTACAGGAATCTCCTTTAGGCCTGGCACTGCTCCCTACACTGCTGGCCACAACCTAATAAAGGCTCATGCCGAGGCCTGGCATCTGTACAACGATGTGTACCGTGCCAGCCAAGGTGGGGTCATTTCCATCACTATCAGCAGTGACTGGGCTGAGCCCAGGAACCCCTCCAACCAGGAGGATGTGGAAGCAGCTAGGAGATACGTTCAGGTACGTTTTCCTCTTACATTTTTTATTCCTGTCATGGTCTAATGAAACAGAATTAGGGCAAGTCAAGCTCTGGAGTGTAGACTCTGCTATTACTTGATCTGGTGAGCAAGGAACCACATGACTTTGTTCCTTAGTCATCTCTTCTGTGGACTGGAGATGTCTCACCCACCTCATAGATTTATTGTAATAAAAGTCATGAATTTTTAAGGACTGGATTTTAAGTTCTAGAACATTCTTTGTACACATAGTTCCTACTGGAATGGAACACATTTGACAATAACTACAAAATGAAATCCCACCTCTTCAGTGTCTTTGCTTTGACTCACAGCTCATGGAGCTGGGCTGCACCCTTCGTCTCTATATGTCACCATTTCATTTTGTTGGCTCCAGCCTAAGAATTTTTTAAATTGGGTAATTTAGATTCTGTGAACTTGGCACTACATCTAGTTAATTCCATGAGTTTGAAATAGGACATCTGTTGGTTATAGAATTTCATTCCTGGGACTAGACAGACTAGTGGAAAGTAGGTGCTGAGACGGCCCAGCTGCATTTCCATCTGGAATTCTGCCAAGACTAGAGGAATGGACTTCATTGCTGGCTCAGCTTTTCTCTGGGTCCTGCTAGTGTCTCTTTCATGTTCTGGCATCAAGAAGTCTGCAGACTGTGGCACTTGGACTCTTAGAGGGACACCAAGGACCCTGATTTGCCAAACTCTTTGACAAAGGTAGTCACATTAACAAGTGTTATTCCTCATTTCAGAGTCACAAAACTGGCAAATTAGAACAATAGGCAAACTCCCAAAATTCAGGAACATTAGGCTTATCATCAAATTAAGCCATGTATTGGGGAGCTATGGTATTGTAGCCCAGGACTGTGACAGACATATCCATTTCCATCAATGTCCACAAAAGATCTGGCTTGCTACTTTAGAGTACATTTAAGTTGCAAATGGGAAAGGTACCAGGAGGTACAGGCAAGGAGGGTAAGGTGAAAAGAATCACATGTTAAGCACTGGTGCCAGCTCCTGACTGTCAGTGTGATCACAATGTACTGTGTGTACTAATTCTTTTTTAAAAAAATTCTACCAGGAGTGTACTTGTGTGCTCCAAACGTGATCTGACAGAGTGGAAGCCTGCCCTGTGCCCTATACACACTTAGATATCCGCCAGCAGGTGAGGGAAGGACTTGATGACCAAACAGTCTTTCAGGCCCTCCAGCATTATATATTTGGGTGTCTATATCCCCCTAACAATAGGAATGTCCTAGATCATACAAAAGAAAAAAACTTTACTGAGAGATAGGAAACCTGTCATCTCAGTGTAGAATACATGCTACTTCACCAATCCCTAGCACTGAAGACAAACTAAACAATAGCTGAATAGTTTGTTTCTGCTTTAGGGCTTTGAACCTAATGTTTATAAAGCAGCCTGAACACCAGGGAATCCATGCCACTCAGGTCTTCCCCAAATGCTTTGGTTGATCCTCGGGTACTCAGGAGGAATGGCCAGGACCTAAGTGGAGCTGCTCTGTGGTGAGGGAGGGAAGAGGGCCTCTGAGCCTCCGGCATCCCTTCCTTTTCTGCCCAGCTCTCCTAACGGCAGTGGGAAGTGGAGTACCAGGGCCAGTAGTCACTCAGTTCCTCACATCAAGTATTAATTACTGAGAAATGGCACTGCAGTGAAGCAGGCCCAGACATGAGTGGAAGGCCTGTGGGCACGTAGGCTGCAACCTGCAAACAGCCACCAGGGAGAGCAGAGATAAGGCCAGGGGCAGAGCGGATGTGACCCCCGGCGAGGCTCTTTCCGCCCCGTGGTGTGCCCACCCATGAGGCCGAGGCTGACTGTCCTCTGCCCCTCCCTGCAGTTCATGGGAGGCTGGTTTGCACATCCCATTTTCAAGAATGGAGATTACCCTGATGTGATGAAGACACGGATCCGTGAGAGAAGCTTGGCTGCAGGCCTCAGCAAGTCTCGGTAAGGTCCTCTGCCCACGGTGGCAGGCACACGGGGGTTGGCAGCAGAGGGGCAGATGTCAGATGAGCAGGCAGGCCCTGGAGCTTCTGGGTTTGTTGGGCAGATTGCACTTGATAGTTCATGATAGTCTATGACCCAACACCTGGCACTGTGATGGGCGTGGCAGAACAAAGCACCTGGGATTGTTCTACTTCAGGACAGCCAGGGATCTGTCTCAAGGGCAACCTCTTCTTAGCAACCCTGCTACAGTGGTAACTTGATACTGAATTGCTGCTGGGAGGTGCTACAAGTGTACCAAAAACAAAGAATACCAAACAAATTGTTTTGGCTGGAAAGAGTAGAGTCACAGAACAGGTGGCACCACAAGTTCTAGCTGGCATCCTGAGTACCAAACAAATGAGAACTGGGACAAAATTTCATAATAAAATGCTTAGGGCATCAATGTGAAAAATTTCAAAGCAGTTGGGCACTAAAACAGCTGGACATGTGCGTTTTGTCATTTGGCCAGCAGGTGGCAATGGTTTACACCAACTATCCCTAATTCCAGGCTCACTCTGCTTCTAGTCAAGAAAATAATAGCACCACCAAGGGCAGCTAATCATTTATCTTTCTATAATCTCTCACTGGTATTTTTATTTCTATTTAGATATGAGTAAAGTGGGCTGGGGAGATGGCTCAGTAGAATAAGCACTTTCCTGGCAAGCGCAAGGGCCTGAGTTCAATCCCTGGTTCTGCAAAAAAAAAAAAAAAGTATAGATATGAGTAAAGTGAGGCATAAAGATTAGGGCAAGATCACCTCTAAATTAAAGTGGTGTACCTCCAAAACCCACACACTGGGTTAAAGATTCATCCTGCGTGCATTAGAGATGTAGTATGTGAAGAGACACAAAGAGATGTTCTGCCTTATGGAATCTAGCGTTTTTGAGTCTTCCTTTTAAACTCCCCCATAAAGCCCCGGTGTGAAGATTTAAAAGTCTAGTTTGCACCTTACAACAGTCTTGGCTTCTTTAAGGTAAATCTTGTTCAGCAGGCTGTGCCTAAAGGGCTGATATGCCAGCTGTGTGAGAACTTCAGCCAATCTACACAACTTTGCTTGAACACCTACTCTGTGTCTCCCCCAGAGCTCAGCAGGTCCATGTAATGTGAGGATCCAAGTCGGACTCCAACTGCTGAAAGACTAGCTGGAAAGTCTCTCCTGAAATCCTGTTTCCCAATTTCTTCAGTAGGAAGAAAACTCAGATAAGGTTGGGGTGGGACAGAAGACTTCATGGACAGTCAGCTGAGCTGGGCCTTGACAGTGACTAGCACTTGGGAGAGCAGAGGTCACTCCATCCAGGGGCTAGGAAGGAGTCCAGGCCCACAGGAAGCACGAGGGGCATGTGAGCCACAGTAGGCTGTGCCAGTGAAGAGACTGAGGCACACGGTGGAGGGCCTGAGACAGGCAGGGGGCCTTTGTAGGGGCTGTCCACTGACAACAGAATGACAAAAACCCAAACTCCAGGTAAAGCGGCCCTCTTTAGGCTGGCAGTGAGTCCTGAACTGTCTTCCTTGAAAGAGATACACAGAGGGGCTGGGGAGATGGCTCAATAGAATAAGGGCCTGAGTTCAATCTGTGGTTCCACAAAAAAATAAAAATAAAAAAATTATATATATATATATATATATATATATCCTTACTTCCAGCTAAAAGGCCTCTGGAAGCTATATGAAAAGGTCAAATTGTAACTTTAGACACAATACAAGTGCTCCACATCTATAGCTACAAGATGATAAATGACCTAGGAAAATACATTCATACTGGCTGCAGTTCATGTCCTCAAACCTTTATAAAAACTCCAATCTTGGGTCGGGGAGATAGCTCAGTGGAACAAGTGCTTACTTGGCAATGTAAAGTCCTGAGTTCAATCTCTGGTGCTGTGCATGCGCGTGCACACACACACACACACACACACACACACACACACACCAACCTTCAATCTTCAACCTTCAATCTCAGGGCCAGCCAAATATCTCAGCAGATTAAAGTACCACAAGGATTCCATCCCCACGCCTGCCCTGCTGGCCCCACCCCTGGGGCACGCTGAAACACAACTGAGATTGGGCATGGCGCTGCACGCCTGTAATCCCAGCTCTTGGGAGGCTGTAAACAGGCAGGGATCCAACCCCCAACCCCTGCTCTTGCTTGCAGGTGCTTTAATCTGCTGAGCTATTTGGCTGGCCCTCCGTGAATTTTTTTGTTTTTTTGTTTTTTTTTTTTTATGTATTTATTACAGGGTCCACAGGGTCTCACTACACAGATCACACCTGTAGTGATCCTCCTGTTTTCAGCCTTTGGATTCAGGCACATGCCACCACACCCAGTCTCAAAGTCAGGGTCTCAGTGTGCCCTTCAGGGCGGGTCTGGCACAGTAGGCTGAGGATCGAACCCTAGGCCCCTGCATCTGCCTAAGCAGGCGCTTTAATCCGTTGAGCTATCTCGCCGACCCTCATACCGTGATTTTGAAATTTATCATAAATGGTAGATACCAGACTCTATGTGATAATGTTTGAAGAAAACAGAAACTGGGGGGTGGCAGGAGCAGGAAATGATAAAGGGTCGAGCATAGTTGCCACCAAGACGTCTTTCAGGACACGGAAAGGAGGCTGTGCCGGCAGGAAAAGACTCAGGCCTCCTGCACCCTGGAGAGGCAGCCAGTCATGACCCGAGCCTGGAGTTGAGTGCAATTCCTGCCCCTGCCCCCCGACATCCTCACCTTCCACAGGCCCTCACCCATACTGCTCCTTCCACGCAGGCTCCCAGAATTTACAGAGGATGAGAAGAGGAGGATCAGAGGCACCTATGACTACTTTGGGTTCAATCACTACACCACGGTCCTGGCCTACAACCTTAACTATCCCTCGGTTATCTCTTCCTTTGACGCAGACAGGTAAGTCTGGGGGCAGAGTGCTGGAGCAATCCTGAGAACAGAAAGCCCAGCTCTTGCATGGAGGCCTGCACAGCCTCAGAAAGGGCATGCTGACTGCACACTCCAGGGTTTGCAGGGTGCTCACCAGTTCCTGAGAGTCCCACTGCCATCCGGGGGAGACGTTCCAGATACTTGCACATGAGACCTTCCCAAGTCCTTCCCACAGAATGGACTGCTTGAGTCTTTGAAAAACCTTGATATGGCAGCTTACATAATGGCCCATTCAGTTGGGCTGAGTAGGAGAAGGCACTCACATCCCTCTGGAAGACCAGGGGGAGGGGTGCAGAGCTGCTGACCTCAGCGTGAACAGGCAGCCTGTGAGGGTGAAAGCCATCAATGCCACTCCTCTGCACAGGCAAAAAGTTCCACGATGGGCAGTGTGAGCGGCTTACCAATGCCACATCAGCCCCAAGGGGGTAATCAGAACGAGATTTAGTATGATTCTTAAGTCTAGATGAAGTGAAAGTGTTTGGCTATGATAAACGTGCTTTGTATTTCATGTGAAGAACCTTGTGAGATCTACAAAGTAAAACCTAATCCAGTTCTTGAATTCACAGGGGCGTTGCATCCATTGCAGATCGCTCTTGGCCAGTCTCTGGCTCCTTCTGGCTGAAAATGACACCTTTCGGCTTCAGGAAAATCCTCAACTGGTTGAAGGAAGAGTACAATAACCCTCCCATTTATGTAACTGAGAATGGAGTGTCTCAGCGGAGAGAGGTAGACCTGAATGACACTGTGAGGATTTATTATCTCCGTACTTACATCAATGAGGCTCTCAAAGGTAAGACACACCACCCACACCACCCACACCACCCCTTTCTCCATAGATCCCCTCACCATTGGAAATATCACCAGTGTCTGCAGGAAGGGAGTACTGCCTTATGGGACCCATCCTAGATTTGCTTTCAGCAAACAAAGCTGCTGCATGCAGGCTACCAGACCTTAGTCCTTGGGATCTGAAGAGCAGGGCCTTGTGGAGGCAGGTCCAAGGAGGCTTGGTGGTGGTCTAGGATCTGTTCTACAGGCGAAAACTGGACCCCTGAGCTTTACCCAAATAACATGGATGGGACAGCAAGTGATGCTGAGTCAGCCACTCCAGCCAAGGAAATGGTCAGGATTCCTCTACTGATTTTCTGTAGGGAGGAGTGCTGCTATTCCAAGGCTTTGATCCAGATCAATACCCTGTGCTGCAGGGGAGGAGTGGGAGGTGAGGGATTAGCCCAGGAAGCCCATGTTCACTCCCCCCACTCAAGGCTGAGCCTGTCTAGAAAGATGCTGGAAGCATTGCAGCTCTTCCACCAAGTCTGCTAACCATCAAGAGGGAGGGCTACCCACACACATCTTGCTGTGCAAGTCAGGCATATGGGGAGCACTGGGCAGTCTGGCTGCAGGAGACTCGGTGGCCTGGTGCCATGAGCTGAGGAGCTCACGCTGTGGCCTGTGGGTAGCTGTGCAGGATAATGTGGACCTCCGAGGATACACCGTTTGGACTCTGATGGACAACTTTGAGTGGGCCACAGGCTTCGCAGAAAGGTTTGGCCTGCACTATGTGAACTACACGGATCCTTCTCTGCCGAGAATCCCTAAAGCGTCAGCCAAGTTCTACGCCTCCATAGTCCGGTGCAACGGCTTCCCTGACCCAAGAGCAGGGCCTCACCCTTGTCTCCAGCAGCAAGAAGGTATGGGGCTCTGGCATGGACCAAAGCCAAAGGCTGACAGGTCAGATGGAGGGTCCTTTTCAGTCTCTGTCTAGTTTATTACCTTCCTGTCTTTCCCCTTCATTCATTCAACCAAGATGCACATGCACCTTACTGTGCTGCAGACATCCTGGGACACAAAGGATGGACACTTAGGGCCAGACAGGGTGATGTACACTCTGGAAGACTGAGGCAGGAGCATCACAAGTTCAAGCCCAGTGTAAGCAGCTTAGTGACTCAGTGGGACCCTACAAGATTCTCATCTGAAAATACAAAAAACAATCTAGAGTTATAACTTGGTGTGAAGGCTCTGGGTGAAGGCCCAGGGTTCAGTACCCATTGCCACTTGAAAAAATAAAATGAAACAGACACTTAGGGATGGTGAACTATAATGTAGGAATGTGGTCTAGATGATTCTTCCTGCCCCACAGTGGCTGTGCTGCCCCAGGCAAGAAACTAGACCAGTGTAGGCAGTTGAGGACCAAACAGAAATGTGAAAGCAGGTCTTTGCACAGTGTGTTGCCAGTTTGCTAAGTAAAAAAAGTATAGGTTATGCAAAATAGACGACATCCAATTTATAGTCTAATTGCTGATAGAGATTAAAAATACGGAAGTACGTGATTCAGAGGCTTTTTTTTTTTTTTTGCGAAAACAGGGATTGAACTCAGGCCCTTGCGCTTGCCAGGCAAGTGCTTATTCTACTGAGCCATCTCCCCAGCCCCAATTCAGAGACTCTTTAACACTCAGTGATGGGAGTCAGGCACATTCACAGCAGCAATGATGGCTCTGGCTATGCAGATTTGGAAGATTATGGTCTCTCAACTGCAGGGATCCAGCTTGGGCTTTCTGAGGGTGACAAACATCTGGCAACTATGTAGACCAGCACTGGAGAACAAACCACCCTTTGTTGTCCTCTCCTAGATGCTGAACCCACCAGCAGCCCTGTGAAAGAGGATGTACCATTCCTGGGGCTGATGCTGGGCACCACAGAAGCGCAGACAGCTCTGTACGTACTCTTTTCTCTCATGCTTCTTGGAGTCTGTGGTTTGGCATTTCTATCATATAAATACTGCAAGCTCTCCAAGCAAGGGAAAACACAGCCAAGCCAACACGAACTGAGTCATATTTCTTCATTCTGACAAGTCTGCCTCCAACTGTAAAGCAAGCCTTCTTAGTAGGGCTTTATTCTCCCCATACTGGACTGCTGCAATGTTAGATTATCTCAATCTAGAAGGGTTTGTGTTCCTGATTAAAGTGGAAATAATCTGCACCTTCCTACAATACTGGGAGTTCATTTGGGGATTAGAGGAGCTTGTAGGTGATTTGTGGAAATGTGTAGGTACTGAACTTATCTGTTCTGTCAAGAGTTATGAATACAAACTAGAAATCTTTTGTACGAAATCAAACACTATGTAAATGGACTGCAATGCCATCTCCTTCCCTGTCTTTATATTCTCCTAGCCTCAAGCTTTTGTTACTTAGAAAATAAACACTACTATGTATGGTTTGTGTCCTGTCTCCTACTTCCTAATTAGAAAGTAGATTCAACAAGTTATGAAATCATACAATCATTTGAGCTACTATTCTGAAGGAGACCAAGTTGGTTTTTTTTTTTTTTTTGTCTATTTTCTATGAAGCAGATACTAAAACAGGTTATGAAAGGTCTCTGAATGACCCTCTCCTCCTTACCTCCAACCACCCACTACTGCCACATTTTTTTAAGCTGTCTGATATCTTGCCTATCAGACAGCTTACAAGTCCCTGAGCAAGGGTGTGAAGGCCCAAGTTAACTCACTTTTGTTCCTTTAGCCTGTTTTCCTTCTTCAATTTGCCACAGCTCTGAAATGCACATATATTCTTCCTATCTGCAAATAATATTCCTTCTGCCTAGGATTGTCTTCTGAAAATGCCTTTAAATCTGCTCAAATAACAGACTTCTTCCTCTGGATGGCTTCTCTGAACTACCCATGCAGCTCTTCCTTCCCTTACTTTGCTTATAATTATCCCTCATTAGAACTTGACTGCAGGGCTGGGGAGATAGCTCAGCAGAAATAAGCGCTTGCCTGACAAGCTCAAGGTCCTGAGTTCAACCCCCAGTACCGCAAAAACAAAAAAAACAAAAAAAGAACTTGAGGGCTGGTGAGATGGCTCAGTGGTCTAAAGTACCTACTTAGAACAAGCTTAGCAAAAAAGCACAGGGACCGCGGTTCAATCCCCCAGCACCACATGCCAGCCAGCCCCGCCCCCTGGTGGGCTGAGCTGGTCACACACACACACAATAAATAAGT